TGGAAAAGAAAACCAAAGTTGGAGGTGTCACAATCCCAAACTTTAGCTTGTATTACAAAGTTGTAATCATCAAGACAGAATGGTATTGGTACAAAAACAGACACATAGACCAATGGAATAGACTAGAGAACCCAGAAATGGACCCACAAATATATGGCCAACTAATCTTTGACAAAGCAGGAAAGAATATCCAATGGGAAAAAGACAGTCTCTTTAGCAAATGGTGCTGGGAGAACTGGACAGCAACATGCAGGAGAATGAAGCTGGACCATTTTCTTACACCATACACAAAAATAAATTCAAAATGGATGAAAGACCTAAATGTGAGACAGGAAACCATCAAAATCTTACAGGAGAAAACAGGCAACAACCTCTTTGACCTCAGTCAAGGCAACTTCTTACTTGACATGTCTCCAAAGGCAAGGGAAATAAAAGCAAAAATGAACTATAGGGACCTCATCATGATAAAAAAGCTCCTGCACAGCAAAGGGAACAATCAAAACTAAAAAGCAACCAATGGAATGGGAGAAGATTATTTGCAAATGACATATTGGATAAAGGGCTAATATCAAAAATCTACAAAGAACACCTGAAAAACAAATAATCCAGTGAAGAAATGGGCAGAAGACATGAATAGACACTTTTCCAAAGAAGATATCCAGATGGCAAACACATGAAAAAATGCTGAACATCACTCATCATCAGGGAAATACAAGTCAAAACCACACTGAAATACCACCTCACACCAGTCAGAGTGGCTACAAGTAACAACTCAGGAAACAACAGATGCTGGTGAGGATGTGGACAAAGGGGAACCCTCTTGCACTGTTGGTGGGAATGCAAACTGGTGCAGCCACTCTGGAAAACAGTGTGGAATTCCTCAAAAAATTAAAAACAGAATTACCCTATGACTCAGCAATAGCACTACTAGGAATTTATCTAAAGGATATAGGAATGCTGATTCGTAGGGGCATATGTACCCCAATGTTCACAGCAGTGCTATCAACAATAGCCAAATTATGGAAAAGAGCCCAAATGTCCACTGACTGATGAACGGATAAAGAAGATGTGGTACATATACAATGGGATACTACTTGGCAATGAAAAAGAATGAAATCTTGCCATTTGCAACAACGTGGATGGAACTAGAGGGTATCATGCTAAATGAAATAAGTCAGAGAAAGACAGATATCATATGATTTCACTTACATGTGGAATTTAAGAAACTTAACAGAAGACCATAGGGGAAGGGAAGGAAAAATAAGACACAAATAGAGAGGAAGGCAAACCATAAGAGACTCTTAAATACAAAGAACAAACTGATGGTTGACGGGGGTGAGGGGTAGAGGGGATGGGGAAAATGGGTGATGGGCATGGAGGAGGGCACTTGCTGGGATGAGCACTGGGTGCTGTATGTAAGTGATGAATCACAGGAATCTAGTCCTGAAGCCACAACTACACTGTATGTTAGCTAACTTGCCAATAAATAAATAAATAAAAATGAAAAATAAATTAAAAAAAAATACTCAGGTAAATGACCTCCCCCCAAAATGAAACAAAATAAAATTTATATGAAAAGAGAAAGGATCTAGAGTAGCTAAAATAATTCTGAAAAAGAGTAAAGCAGGAAGAGTCAGTTTACACAATTTCAGGATTTAGTATATACCTACAGTAATCCAGACTCTGTAGTACTGGTGGGAGGACAGACCCATAGATCAATGGAACATTAACAGAAAACCCAGAAACAGACCCCTACAAATATGCCCAACCACTCTAACGAAGGTACAAAAAAAGGGCAATGTTACAGGGAAAAGATGGTCTTTTCAACAAATGGTGCTGGAACAACTAGACATCTAGAAGAAAAACAAAAACAAAAACAAAACCTTTACACAGTATACAAAAATTAACTAAAAATGGATCAAGGCCTTATATATAAAATGTAAAGCTAGGAAATTTTTAGGCAAAAAAACAGGAGGAAACCTTTGGGATCTAGAACTAATCAAAGAGTTCTCAGATACCTAAAGTATGACCCTTAAAAGAAAAAATTAGTAAAGTGACTTCATCAAAATTAAAACCTTTGCTTTGTGAAAAACCATGCTAAGGGGATGAAAAGAAAAGCTAAAGATTGATAGGAACATATTTGCAAACTATGTATGTAACAGAGGACTCATCTGTAGAATATATGAAGAACTCTCAAAACTCAATAGTAAAAAACAAAAGCATCCAATTAGAAAATGGGCAAAGACACTTCACCAAAGAGGGGAAACGGCAAATGAGCACATGAAAAGACGTTCAACATCATTAACCAATAGAGAAATGCAAATTAAAACCACCACACCCTTAACAGAATGGCTAAAATTAAAAAATTAAAAAAAACAGTGACAATATCAAATGCTAGCGAGAATGTGAAGAAACTGGATTGTTCATGCATTGCTGGTGGGAGTATAAAATGCTCCAGACACTGTGGAAAAGAGTTTGGCAGTTTCTTAAAAATACTAAGCGTGTAACTACCGTACAACTCAGCAGTTGCATTCCTGAGCATTTACACCAAAGAAATGACCACTCATATTCACACAAAACCTCTACATGAATTCTCATAGGTTTATTCATAATAACCCTAAACTGAAAACCACCCAGATGTCCTTCGACTGGGGTACAGTTAAACAAACTGTGGCACATTCACACCATGGATGACAACTCCGCAATAAAAAGGAGCCAACTGTTGATACATGCAACAACTTGGATGAATATCCAGAGAATTATATTACATTCTTGAAGTGACAGAACTACACAAATGGGCTGCCAGGGGTTAAGAAACAGGTAGGTGGATAGGGGAGCCTCAGCGGCTCAATTGGTTAGGCATCCAACTCTCAGTTTCAGCTCAGGTCATGATCTTTGCAGTTCATGGGTTCGAGCCCCATGTTGACGGTGCAGAGCCTGCTTGGGATTCTCTCTCTTAAAAAAAATAAACTTAAGGGAAAAAAAAAAAAAAACACAGGTGGGTGGGGGAGGGAAAACAGGTGTGGCTATAAGGCAACATGAAGGATCCTTGTGGTGACTGTATCAATGTCCGTAACCTGGCTGTGATATCGTACTTTAGTGTTGTAAGATGTTACTACCATTGGGGGAAAATGGGTCAAGGATACACCAGATCTCTTGGTATTATTTCTTACAACGGCAGGAGAATCTACAATTATCTCAAAACAGAGTTTCATTTAAATTTAAAAAATAAAAGGACTGAGACATATTGTAAGGATATGAACTGTTCCCTGGTGGCAAGGGGATGGGGTGATGATAATTCATGGGGAAAGGAGTCTGTGAGTCACTGAAGTAAAGGGGGAGATACGTGGGGATGGAGATGGCTTGGGAGCCACCTTGTCCGCAGCCTTCTTCCTTTACAAGAGAAAGAAAACTGAGGACCAGTCAAGCAAAAATACACAAATCTTAAGCCCTTCTTGTTATGGTTTGACTCCAAAAGGTTCCCAAACTCCTCTCATTTCTGTGGATACCAACTTGGCCAGTACTTAATGACACCCTCAAAAGGAAGCCAAGGCAGGGCACAAAGAGCAGACAGGATCTTAACACACTACACAGATTTGTTGCAGAATCAGAAGTCAGAGATTACACCTTCAGGCTTCCAAGTCAGTGAGCATCTATTATCTGGCATAAAGGATACGGGTGGGGAAAAGGAGAGATAGAGGTCTCAATTCTTTTTTTTATTTTTATTTTTTCAACGTTTTTATTTATTTTTGGGACAGAGAGAGACAGAGCATGAACGGGGGAGGGGCAGAGAGAGAGGGAGACACAGAATCGGAAACAGGCTCCAGGCTCTGAGCCATCAGCCCAGAGCCCGACGCGGGGCTCAAACCCACGGACCGCGAGATCGTGACCTGGCTGAAGTCGGACGCTTAACCGACTGCGCCACCCAGGCGCCCCGAGGTCTCAATTCTTATATACCAGCAGCTAGGGCAGACACTTTGCCATGAGAAGTAAAACACATGTTGGTAGCAAGGGTGGAATTAGGTTGAGGTGCTTTTGCTTGAAAAGATTTCAAAAATTAGAAGAATTTACCTTTTGTCTCTTCTGGCACCCTTGCCTCTTAAGAACTTACTAGGCTGATGACCCAGCAATTCTACTCTTAGAGAAGTAACACCGTATGTCCACACAAAAACTTGTACATAAAGGTTCACACCAGAATTACTCACAACTGCCAAAAGCGAAAACAACCTAAATGTCCATCAGCTGGTGAATGGATACATAAAATGTGGTATATCCATACAATGGAATGTCATTTAGCAATAAAAAGAAATAAAGTACTGATTCATGCTATAGCATGGATAAACCTTAAAAATATCATGCCAAGAGAGAGGCAGTCACAAATGGCCACATATTGTATGATTACACTTATATAAAATGTCTGGAGTAGGCAAACCTACAGAATAAATAAATGATTACTTAGGGATGGGGGGTTGGGGAAAATGGGGAGTGACTGTTAATGGGTGCTGAATTCTTTTCTGGGTGATGAAAATGCTCTAAAATGGACTGCAGTGATGATTGTGCAACTCGAAATTGTTAAAACCACTTATCTGTATATTTTAACTGGATGGATTATGTGCCACAATCCATGTAGATGGGAAAGTGTTTCTTAATTTATTTTTATTTTTATTATTTTTTTAATGTTTATTTATTTTTGAGACAGAGCATGAACGGGGGAGGGTCAGAGAGAGAGGGAGACACAGAATAGGAAGCAGGCTCCAGGCTCTGAGCCATCAATCAGCCCAGAGCCCGATGCGGGGCTCGAACTCACAGAGTATGAGATCGTGACCTGAGCTGAAGTCGGACGCTTAACCGACTGAGCCACCCAGGCGCCCCGAAAGCGTTTTTTTTTTTTTAAAAAGACAGAAAGCAGAAAGAAAATCGAAGGAAGGGATGGCGAAAGAGAAATAGCAAAAAAAAAAAAAAAAAAAAAAAAAAAAAAAAAAAAAAAAGAACAAACATACCAGGCTGAAAAATCTTGTAGTAGGGACTGTAGGCCACGTTTAATCCACCAAGCTTTACTGAGATTTCGTAACGCCCAGCCCTGCGCACAGTGAAGGCCACCTTGACCACGTTGGAACTGGGCTCCTGGAGCACTTCCTGGGTCACTGGAATTTCCACGGCCAGCTCAACATGAGAGATGTGAACTCTCAGTCCCACAGGCCGGTGTGCGGGAAAAGGCTGCCCATTCTTGTAGAATAACTGCAATGAGGAGAGAGGGCACTCGTTAGTGAGCAGGAAGAGAGAACTCTTACCCGCCTGACTGGAGAGGGGGTGGGGCAGGGAGGAGGTAGTGGGCAAATCCCAGTACCCACTCATTCCTACTGTCCTGCTCACAGGCACAGAGAGAAACACCACACCTCAAAGAAAACCATTAAATCATGAACAGATTCTTAACTTGTTCAGAAGGCAGGGATAAAATATACATTTTATTTTCAACTTGACATTTCTGAATGCATTTCAACTGGACATTTCTGAACCACAAATGCTGCCTCCTCAGTATAAGCAGCCCTTTTTATTATATTATCAGTGCTAAACTGAACGTAAAGGTAAGTCAGCGGATACCAGTGGCACGGAGTGAGCTAAAGCACCAGGCAGGGCTGGGGGGAGGGGGGGCGCAGGCTATCAAGCCAAGCAGAATGCTGCAGTGGAGAAGTCATCACAGGGGGTGGCAAACTTTTCTGTAAAGGCCAGACAGTAAATATTTTGGCTTTGTGGGTCATACACAGCTACTCCACTCAACTTTGGTTAACTACTCAAGTGTAAAAGCAGCCGCAGGCAATACAGGAAGATGGATGGGTGTGGCTGTGCTCTAATAAAATTACATTTACAGAAACAAGAGGCCGGCCTGATTTGGCCCTCAGGCCATAGTTTGCCAACCCCCAGTCTAGAACACCTATTCCTTCGGTAATAGTTTTCTTGTTTTGAAAAAGTAACATTAAGTTTTAAACATCTTCAAAGCTAAGCACCTACAAGACCAAAATGATAGAGAAATTTGTGACCCTTCAGATGTTAACACTTCCCAAGTCCCTGGGAGGGGCTGAAAAACAAGGAAAAAATGTTAACATTCCAGGCCAGCACCACCAACAGGATGAACTGGGCTCTGGAAAGCAAGTGATTCAGAAAACCCAATGGGTATGGAGACAGAAACATTCCCTTACATGCACTCGGAAGGCCATGCTGTGGCCCACCTCATAGGGGTCCTTCCAATCCCAGGAGACTTTGCAAGACCGGGGATCCAGGTAATTTCCCCGCACGTAGTCATAAATAGTCCGGTCCCCTCTGCGCTCACGGTCCTCATTCTGGAGGAAGCTGACTACACGTGCGGCAAGCTCAAAGAGGAACTTAATTGTGAAGAAGAACGCAACCACAGACACTGTGATTCCACCTACATAAAAGAGAGAACACACATACCTCCTGCCAGTTACAGCTTCTCATTGTGGAAAAGACCGGCCAACTTTCAAAAAGTGAAAGAAGTTAGGATGCGATACAAGACTTCCAAGGAAACACTGTACTGGGTCACTACCTCTGTGGGTGAAGAGAGGAACTTCTACATCAGGGGTCAGAAATTACAGGCCAAATCCCATCCACTGCTTGTTTTTGTAAATAAAGTTCTATTAGAACACAGCCCCACCTATTCATTTACCTATTGTCTAGGGCTGCCCTAGCCCTAAACCAGCAGAACCCAGTAGTGGTACAGAGCCTGTACGACCTGGGAAACCAAAATATTTACTTTTTGGCGCTTTACGGGAAAAGTGCCAACCCTTGTTCTATACCGTGGGCCACATAAAATGCCCACCCCCTACATTCCTGCCTATGCTAGGCCCTCACAGAAGCAGTAAAACGAATGTGAATTCTAGTCCCTCCATTTGGAAGTCTTCCCCTCTTTTGTCCACTTAGCAAAAGCTCTCCCCAGTCCTCACCTGAGTTAGGGGTTCCCTCTTCTGGGCCCCCTCAAACTCCTGTATATTCACCTATTATAGCTTTTCTCCCCTTGAGCATCTTCCCCTTCATGTTATGAGCTTCCTGAAGGCAATTTTTGCCTTATCCGACTTTGACTCGGCAGGAAACAGTATCTGGCATGGACCAGAATTACTCAATAAATATTTCCCAAATGAATGAATTCCACTGCCAACTCTGTGAAGGTACATTCTGGCGTGAACAGAAATATTTCTAAGTCTATTTTCAAGGGGAAAGGGGGTAGACGGGGAGGCAAAAAGGATGTAAGCAGCCCTAACAAAAATAATAAAGAGCTCTTTCCACAACATACCAATAACGTAAAACATCAGGTCCCTTCAGTGCCGCCAGACAGCCGAGGATCACAGCTGCAGCTGCAAAAGAAAACTTGTTTAGTGTTCTCTCCAATTCTTCCTTACAGCCATCTCAGAGAGAGACAAAGAACACAGGGCTTGAGTCAACTGACTCTGGCCTTACTGTGTCCCTGTCCTCTCTCTCCAGTTTGACAGGTGCCCTATGACAAATTTCAGCGAAATGGTGACTACATCATTTCTCCTAAAGACTTCCAATCTACGACCACCCTAGGAATACCACAAACAGCCACTTGCTTTATTGCTAATTACAAAATGCAATAACATGGCTTTCATCTTCTCAGATCCAGGGCCCCAAGACAGTTTCCCTCCCCCATGCAAAGTAGTGCTAATTAACACAAGCAAAGAGGATAATGGAGTCACTTTCCCCTTCTATTTGCCTTCTGGAAGTAATTCATCTAAGTAGAAATAGTTATATCAAATGTGGATTTTTAAAAGCAAGTATTATTATCATCATGCTGGCATGTAATTAAAGTGAACCACTGGTCATCCCAATAAGAAGCAGCGGGCATGTAAGAGAAGTCACTTTTGCTTTTACCAATCAGACAACAGGTCCCATGGAAGATGAGCTCAGCAGAAAGGCCAAGGACAGGAACAAAAGGAGGAGATTCTATTTATCCTAAGTGCTGCCTGTCAAGGTCAGAACAATTCAAACAGGGGCCAGGGTTCAAGGGGACACTTTCACTGTTATTAAACTTGTTTCCAAAATAAGACGTCAATCTTCATTACTCGTTTGAACCACCCAAGGTATTGCCAAGAAAAAATGCCATGTACACTGACAGTGGTATCGATCGCTGAGTTTTGACCTTAGTAGAACCTGTAAAAGCTCTCCATTCTGTAATGCAGTGAATTCATTCAAGTCAATGTATATAAGGTTATCAATGTTATCTCAACTCAGCGCCTTTTATCTGCACTAGAATATTACTTAGAGACAATACGGCTGAAAATTTCTAGGCTCAAATTTGGGAGGGACCAAAACAGGTTCTATTTTTGTTGTTGTTGTTGTTTATAAATAGGGTATGCTTTTATGTCTAACTGTACTGGAAAATTTTAAGTGAGAGACCGGAAAATGGCCATTAGCTCCTCTGATAGCAACAATATATCCAGTGGAATCCATGGAGAGTAGGTAATTTGAGGAATGACCATGTCAAGTTTCATAGAAATCCCTGTTCAGACTGGTCTAAAATCTACTGGCAAAGAAATCCACACAGGGAACATTACAACAGTCAATACACATGGATTAGGCTGCTCCCCAAAGGGTCAATTATAAAAAGACAATATACAGACCCCAAATTTGGGATCACAACTACTGAGCCTCCTGCCCAAACAGGCAGCTCATATCCCGGAACCTTATGCTGAAAGCTGCTTTTGTCTCTCAAAAAGCATCTGTCTGCACCTTACACGATGTGCTAGATGATTTCGTAGAACCCAAACTAGCAGTTTAACTGTCTGAATTCACTGAAATACTCCCTCAGTTGGATGTCATTCAATCTGATCCATGATATGAAAATTTGGCCCTTAGCAAAGCTGTAACACTCAGTAGAGAAGAAAGTGTATGTGGCTGATGTTATAGGACTTGTGGCCTCAAGTCTCTTACTCCTTGGAGGAACAAGAACACCACCAAATGTATGGCATTCCCAGCATTAGGGCTGGGAAATTCCTATGTACTACCTCTGACAACTATAAGAAGCTTTACTGCGAGAGGTGGTGGACGAGCAGTAAGTCAGAGGCCTGCGAACCGGTTCCAAGGCCGCAACTATGTGACCTGTCCAGGCTTCGGAACTCTCACTGCTAGAAAAGAACTGAGATTTACTAATTTCTATGGCACCATCTCCTTCAGTGCGATAGGACTTCAATATAACTCCCCACAGCCATCAGGACCCTAAAATCAAACAGTAGAGCAAACAGGACAATACAGAGGGTGAGGGCGTGGACTCCAGAGCCGGCCTACCTGAGTTCATACCTATTCTCTGTCACTCACAGTGCGACATTAGACAAGTTATTTCATCTCTCTGTGGAGAGCCAGTTTCCTCATTTGTCAAATGGGGTATATCTATGTGTACCTCACAGAGGTGCTGTAAGGATTAAATGAGTTTACCCACGTAAACAGCAGAGAATAGTGCCTGGCCCAGAGTGAGTTGTCAGTTTTAACTGTTATTAAAATCATTACCAATAGTGGTAGTGCCATCACTATCCCTTTGTGTCAGAGCCAGTAGAAAACTCCAGGAACCTCTCTACTGGCTCCCAGTTTCTCCAGTGGGAAATGCATCAGAATTGTCTACTGAAGGTAGGTAATTCTGGCTTCTCTTACTGTGTTTCAAATCTCTGCCTACATGGGAGTTCTTCACACTATTCTAATTTTATGCCTGAAAATATTTATAATGAAGAATTCAAATTCATCCAACAAATACCGGGTACTTACTTAATGTGCCAGGTACTGGGGGAACAGTGTTGGGACAGCCACAGTCTCAGTCCTCATGAAGCTGGCAGTACTGAGCTCGACCTTGCTGAGTCCTTGTCCATTTTCTCCCCCACTTATTTTTCAACCAAACCATCATCACTGATCCAGAACACCTAGACCTTTTCCAATCAGTCAATTCTACATTTCTAGTCCAATTCCCTTTATTATTTTAAACCCGGATACCTATTACTACTTTTTTCCAAACCACTCTCCTCTCTTCTCCTGGAAACCTCCTTATGGCCAGGGAATTAGTTCTGTCGATTCACTGCCCTATGATCTGACTTTTACAAAACCTCCCACTTCTCTACAATAGCTCTCAAGAAACCCCCCAACAATAAATATCTACCCATCTCTCAGCTGTCACATTTTGAATTTGCCTTCCTTTTACATTTTCCTCCTGTCTTGTTCCTCTTGAATGCTGTCACAAAGCCTCCCTGTCTTTATCACTCAAATCATTTTTATTCCAGATTTCACTTCAATTCTGTCAGCATTTTCTGTTCTCTGACTCTGGCAAGGCTCTCCCTGCTCTGTCTCTGCTCCTATCCCCACCCACAGTATTCCCTTGGCTTCATCTCCACAAAACCTTATTTTATCCTATGATCTACCTGACTCGAGTCCTTTCTATCTTTACATATAGGCTCTGAAACACATCTCCATGCTTTGCAAAATCACTTCCTCTGCCTAGACTAACCACTCCCCTCTCATGTCTCCATCCGTGGGCAATCTCCTAACCCTAAAGTCTAGGGAAGGTCCTGTCTTCCCTCCTTGAAATCTTCCTTGAGCCTCAATTTAGAAATTCCCTCCCTCGTCTGAATTCCCACACTACTTTTATTTATCTTTTGGCACTTACATTCTCTTTCATTTTAGTCCTGTGTTTGTTTTATTTTCCATTTCAGAGTGGTAACATGAGGCAAAGACTAGTCTTCAGAATTCTCCACAGCGTCCAACATAATTGCATACAGTAATTGCAATAAGTATGAATGAAGTATCTGAACAGATAGGGTCAAATGTCTGTTCTTTCCTTTGTCCAGAATGCCTAGGGATCAGGAATTTTCTAGATAGGACCTCCTTTTAGATACAGTTTTTAAAGACTTCGGTAACTGGCAGTATATTCACTTGAGCCAGGGACTGTAAACTCTTTGGACCACAAGTTACCAACTGACTTCAGTTCTACAAGTATATACCAAATACCCACAACTAGAGTCATAGGTTCTCATGCATGGCCTGGTATCTGGTTTTCTGGTTCTATCTTCCTTATCTTGAGCTTTTATTTTTCTATAACAGTTTCTATAGCACCCTCCACTTTCTGCTGCTTACACTTCTCCTTCATAAAATTATTCTGAAACTCTTCCCAAGTCTAACTCAAGCACAAAGAAGCAGTATGTTAAGCCTCTGCCATACTAATTCATGCAATTTGGCTGCACGAGTATTTTTTTTTTTCAAGTTCATCTCTTTAGTGTTCTTGCTTTTACACAATTCAGCAAACTGGAATATTCTAAGCTAGAAGAATAACAGTAGTAGTAGTAACATAATACTCCCTACCTTCACTAAGCTGCTTACAATAGGGCAAAATACCGCACTAAGTGCTTCTATGTGCTAGCCTAAGTAATTGTCCCTGTAACAACCTGGCAAAATAAAAACCATTAGTCTCATTTTACAGATAAAAAACAACAACAACAACAACAAAGCTGGGCTTGGAAAGGACTTGCTGAACATCTCCCAGCTGGTTAAATGACAGAGCTGAGACTCAAGCCCATGCCTGACTCTGAAACCCAATGTTCTAAACCTCATACAACACTAAATCAGGAAAAGAAAGGAGTCATAGGGACAGCGAGGTATTTGGGAAGAGGGAAGATTTAAAAAAAACAACAGGTAAAAGAAAGTATGAAAAACATTACTTAATCTTCCTGGGAGGAATCCCAGCACAAGGTTAAAATTAGAAAAATAAATGCTTATGGCCCCTTTTTAAATCTTTTGAAATAAAAATAAAGCATGACAAAGGAAAATGGAATGCAGTACCAATTATCTAATGCAGAAATATCACTTGCTTACTAAAAGATCCCGGGCAAGTTGCTTAATACTACAGTACTTTGGCTCACATTACCTACAAAAGGCGGGGGAGGGGGAATACTTGAAAACGCCTGTCTCAAGGGAATGTTAAGAGTTGACTAACGGACACATTCTAAAACTCTTTGCTTTTTTAGGAGGCTAAAGATTTGTAATTACAATAGGAAATAAATTTTAGCCTGGACATCGAAGATGGGTTGTGAAAGTCATTTCCCAGAAACAGAGAACGGATTTCTTCATCCTCAAAGGTGCTCTAGGGCAGGGGATCGATTCTAACTGCAACTGTGCACTTCAACAGCTATCCGTTGCTGAAAAGGCTTAGGGAACTGGCCCCTGAGTCCACTTTCTGCATTCCAATAGCAAGTGAATGTTAACTAGTCTATAGTCTTACCTTTAAACGAGGGCCCATGTTCTGAGCACCAGGTCGAGC